GGGGGGGGGGGGGGGGGAGAAAGGGATGAAATTCGAAAAAAGTTCCTGCCAGTTGAGACAGAGGACGCAAGAGAACGTGGGTAAGATTTATTAGCGTAAGGATTAGCATTTTAAATATATTTCCCCCCCCCCCCAAGAGGGAGGGGGGTAGATTACCACTCTCCTCGTCCTGTGGTCAATCGACTTATTTTCTGTATTTTTTTTTTCTTTTTCCCCGTCCTTCTCAGACCTCTGGGTTGGGCCCCCAATTCTCACCCGGTACAATAATTAACGAAGATTATACGAGAGACACGATAATGACCCTCCCTCTTGGGCCCGTGCACCCCCCACTCTATCTTTTTGTCACTGGACCCATGCCCTTTATGCAGCCATCCAGTATACTTATGCGCGTTTTTCCCGTGGAGCAAATGCACATGCGCTCATTTGCATACGTGCTCGAGAATGGGACCTACATACTCGTAACGATTATATCGCCGATAAACCCGAGGCCCTAATACCGATGCGTAACGATGTTCGGCGTGCATATAACCTCGCTCTTACGACCCTTACCGGTTTCCACGAAGATTCGAGCACATGCGGGGACAGTATCAAGTTCGATTGCTAAATGTGAGAAGGGACACGGGGACCCACCGGGGCCTTACGATCGACAACCGGTAAAGGATGGGACGCGAATGAGTTGTCAGCCGGAAGCCGCAGGGAGCGGAACATCTCTATGGAGGAATCCTGTGCGATTGGTAGGGGACCAATTGGACGGGCCCTTTTTTTTGGGACTTTTAGTACGCACGCACGGGACCAGTAAGAGCGACGTACATGTAGCCGTAGCTAACAGAAGAATCGATTCTTGGTATAAGCGAAATCTTCAGACGCGATCGCTCTAATAAAAAATAGAGAATCGCAAGAAGATGGCCCCTCGTGGATGAATAAATCAGACAAAAAGGTTATGTTGGTTATGTAGGGAAAAATAGGTAGGATGAATCCACCATTAGATATATATACGACCACCTTTTAATATTCCACGAGCGCATCTCTACACCTTCTTCTCGTTCTTATTTCTCTTATTATTATTTCCCATCTTCCTTTTTCTCTTCTTCTTCGTCCTCCCTCGTCCACCTACCGCCCTCCTACTACTCGACAGGACTCGCAGGATCCTCGTACACCTTAGCGCTCTTACTACGCTCGTACTACGAGCTCTTACTATAAAGGAGATACCTGGCCTCGACTCCATGCCATGGGTAATAGAAAGAGGAAAAAAAATTAAAATAAAAGCGTTTAAAAAAAAATGTCTACGTGGAAATTATCCAGCGTGCCACTGACACCGTCAATTGCCCATTCACTACGCGATGGAGGATCTGCCTTTACTTTATTCTTATTTGAGCACAATCCACGCGCTGCGGCTACGGCCGTTTCCACTTGCGAATCACGGTGTCCCGGGTGTAGATCTATCGCCGTCACGATTAACAATGCTATCTCGGTTTCACGTGCTCCATTAAGTATACACTTTTCGTTATTAAACTTTTATAAAATTTATCCTACCGATCATTCGTCGCAGTGTATCCCCGTGGGTCTTGCCCTTTGCGGCACTATGTAATATATACTGAGAACCCCTGCCAGTCCGTCACCAGCGCCAACATCGAGAACTTGTTTTTACTTTGAAGGAGATGAGTCGATGATAGACGAGCGAGAGTCGTTCCAGAGAAAAAGATCCGCGGGTAGCTGAAAATGGCGGAGAAGATCGATCGTACGATTGATCCCAGGATCGATATCCTCGCTATTGCGCTGCGTTGTGTCTGTTAGGTGTAGGGGGCGCAAGATGGATCACGGAACGATCCATCGATTGTACGAGTGACTATACAGAGTGTACCAGTTAGAGATACAGGGATGAGCCGACGTCATTATGGGTGCAATGACCTCATAGAAGATTGCTCCCGGTTTTCACGGTCATCTGGATCGAATAGATATGCTTATTGTTATATTTAAATTAGTACGTGATCATAGTGTATCTTATTATCTGTATATAGTATACTTATACGTAAGTTTATGTATATATATATATATATATATATACACAATATAGGAATATACTTAGTCATCTCATATATTTATAGGCTATGCGCTGTACCTATCGATCTTGTTATTACTGCACTTCTTATACATGATTACGGTAATCTACAGCGGTTTCCACCGTAACGATTGAAATTTCTGCGGTTCGTCGTCGATCAAGTCTGGGCGACTGTTTTTCTGGCTGGATGCGAGACAAAGTAATTTCTCTTAATTATTAATAAGACGCACGTAGTTCGCCATTTTGATTATCTGCATCGGATTCAAAACCATAGACAAGAGTCAAAAGTCGTATTAGAATTCTACCTTAATAGCCACAGAGCCTCCCGATAAACATCGTGATTACGCCGATTATAGTTGTACGTATCCCCGAGGCTGATGTACGTACCTTTAATGCGTCTTTACCGACCATAGGAACCCGCCTTGACGCTTAACCCACGCCATAACTTGCAATCAAGCCAGACGAGCTTTATAATTGCGTTAATAAAACACGCGTACGGATTCCGTTAGTCATATTTTTTAAATAATTTTTTTCATTTAATCTTTAACAATTAGTGCCAGTACAACACGTAATTTTCTTAAGTCTCAGACATACCTATTTGTCCCAAGCCATTGGCAAGTGCAAATTTTAAAGTTTACAGATCGATGGCTATTACCTATTCAAAGTATTTTTTTTCGATATGAAGTTTTAGTAATGTAAAGAAAAAAAATTATGCAAAATAACGCCAACTGTACCGGAGGGTACTCTCTGACCCTGGCTGTCTGTATACAGCAGACTGACATTTCGCTAAGAGCGCAATTATTCCTCGTCGCTGTACGCCGCTACGTTACAATAATGTCGCTGCTTGGAAAGGCGGCCTTTTTTTTCACAAAAGCCAACGTCAGTACCATGGGTTTCTTGCGCGAGTTCCATAGTCTTGTAGTGGTGATTCCGACGTTCTCGTCTTGTGCGAATCTTGAATTCGCATCCTCAACTATTTTTCACGTCCGCTGCGAACTTTCCGTAGCGAATTCACCGCGTCGCTATTACCGTTTCTTTTACGGTGTCAACGTACTCATATGGCTACCTAACCATTTTTATCCCCAGTGCCATTCTCCTTAGAAGCGTGAAAGGATTCTTTAGAATTCCTCTGCCTCTCCGTATAGAGAACAAGGATGATTTTCCTGTTTACGTTTAGAATCCTGTCTCCATGCTCTGTCCTGTTATCCCGGCACTACTGTCAGTTCAACGCTCGATGAAACTTTCCAGCAGACCTCCCTGTAGGGAAGAAAAAAAATGATAAAATATATGTATAGCAAGAAATAACAAAAATTTTCAAAAATACAACAAAACTTATTGGACCATAAATACGTACGGCCCTGACGCCCTACTTCGCTATGCTGCCAACGGATAGAGAAAGTTGTTTGGTATATACACGTGACGTAGTGTTTACTATTTTGCTGAGAGTAACATTACATTGCTTGGTGATCTCTCAACGTTATAACGATATACTATAGTACAGTATAGTAATATTAATAATAGTATAACCAGTAACGGTGACACTGGTAGTACTGTATAGTAGGGACAGCGTGAACCGGACTAAAAATACTACGTAAGAAAATAGCGCAACGCGCGACAAAGCGGCTGCCATTAAATTTAACCTACAAAAATTCTGCGGTACGGCGCATTCTACCTCGTAGCTTTTACTCATTACCTGCCATGGAAAGGGGGAACGTATGAAAAAGAAATTTATATGGCTACGTATCTCTTTATTTTTACTCATCCATAAATTTACGTTACAAGAGAAGCTATAATTTGTACAAGCATGTACAAGCTTGGAAAATTCCGTTAATACCCTCTAGTGCACAGATGCGAAAATATCGCTACGATACAGCCTCCGCATCTCGTGAACAGATTTGTTTACACTCAAGAGCAGCTGCAGTATTAGGCAATGTGCGTAGAAAGATTCAACGCGTATCTGATGAGTGCAGTCAACGGTGCAGCTGTACGTCGAAATCGCACCCTCGGGAGTCGCGAGTATCCGCCGGAAGTAAGGAGATAAATTCGTAGGGAGATGTTATTTTTCCGGACCCTCTCGCTACCATTGTTGAGAGAGGGAGAGTGAGTGAGTGAGTGGGGGGGGGGGGGGAA